ATCCAAAAAAACATGATGCGACTTAGCTCTTTAATGCGCTGTTAAGGAGTGTTGCTACAGCAGGGAGTTCCTGCCTGCCCGGCCTGCCCGGCCTGCCCTGCCTCATCCGATTCCGAGAGCTTCCTCTCCTGCCAGGCCCACGTCCAAAGCAACTCTGATGTTTTTGGAAAGACATGCCGGGGAGCTTTGCCTCGTGACGATCGCGTGCGGCCTGCCCGCAAAAACCGGGGCTCACGAGCGAGGACGAGTAGCCCAGAATCTTCCCCCGACGTACTGCATGCCCCCGGCTTGTGCAGAGCATGGTGGACTTCCCTAATCCTGCATTCATTCGAGACTCGCACCCACATCAAGAGATCAAGGCAACGCCAAAGCCAAAGCCAGCAAGCCAAGCAGCAGCCGTTCAGCAAAGTGTTGCCCCACATGCTCGGGGCCTCCTGAAGAGCGGCAGCCCGGGCTGTTCGAGCAGAGAGTCGCAGCTTCTGTGAGCGCATCGGCAATGGCTGGCTGGAAACGACGATGTCTGTGCCCTCCTCCTGTTGCAACGTGTGGTTTGGTGGTCATTGAGAGACATTGATCACTGATCCGCTCCTTGCTGCTGGCAGGATCTCTGTGCAGAAAGCGCTCGATGCCCTGCGACGTCACCCAGGGTTCGCGGCTGGGCAGCGGCTGACTGCACAGGATCCGGGACGAATCTTCCTCGCAAGCAAAAGATGCGAGCATTGGGTAATCCTTGAAAGGCGGCGGATGGTCCTCCGAACTCTTGTTGGAGACCTGTCTTGGCCCATCAGTGCCCAGCTCCGGAACTGCCACGTCGCGGTGGGACGGCGGCCTCATCACAACATCCGAGACGAGAACCCTTGTTTTGGGAGCCACCTGATTAGCATGGGAAAGCACCGATGCTGCAACATTTCTTCAACTGTCCGTACATTCATATGTTCAGCCGAGAAGCTCAGGATCTGTTTTGGAAGGCGCCGGCGGAGTTGTCGCGTTTGGCCTGGGCTTTCTGCACATCGCTACGGAGTATCGGGATTCAACTACGATCACCGGGGCCATGCAGGTTTACGGAGCCTGCTGTAGCGAGCAGGGTGCCCTCTTCCATCGAAGACGACTGGAATGCTGCAAGTCCCATGGTTCAGTTTTTATAGACTCTCTCTCTCTCTCTATGTATATATATATACATATACATACATACATATATATATATGTGTGTGTGTGTTTGTTGATGTTAGTTGCTAACTAGCGTTTGGCAAGCTCTAGGACTCTAGAAGTGTTGCCGAGCTTGTTTTGCTCAACCTAGAGGCTGTTGCTCCGGCAGGTCTGCCTCCGAGGTTTACACCAAACACCGAATTCCCAAAGCATGAGCATCATGTGAGAGCGATCAGCCAGACTCACTCCAGGCTGAAGCATTCTTGTTGGATTCCAGCTACGTCCGTGGTGGCAGGCTTTCTTGCCAAGTCGCACAACAGAGATTTGTCCTGAGGTGGTCCCGGCCCAGTTGCCGACAATGACGGGGGGCCTCTAGCCAACTCCAGCTGACAACACCCTAAACCCCTAAGCCCTAAACCCTACACTCTGAGGAATGCATGCTGCCCTGTGAATCAAAATGACGATAGTGATAGACTTTAAGGCAGTGCTTGAGAGGCCCGGGTGCGGGGCCGGGAATAGGGGTTTGTGAGCTTTGTGGGCTAGTATGATCGTGCTGTAAATATGCGCCTTCTCATTTAACCTCTGACCATTATACTTCTTAGTATTGAATGTCTCTTATCGCATCGAGTCAGCTGGATTCTGTTGTCCGCCGATTCCTCCGCGGCTTTTCGAGCAGCTTTCGACGTCGCCGTGGTTGCTTTTAGGATTGCTCTTAGCTTTACTTGGTCTCCGAAGCTCGAAGCATTAGCCTTAGCAAAACGATCCTCACTCCTGCCATACCTTCTCTGTGTGCTTGGCGCTCGCCCTCTCTACAAAGGCTCCACCAAATGTAGACTTGATGGGGCAACGCTTGCTGCTCCAGGTTGTCCAGACATGTCAGTGCGAAAGTGACTCATGTCTCGGGGATCCTGCGTGCAGCCGACACGTCTGCGACTGTGGAAAATGCTCCCTGATGTAACCTTGGGCTCCTATCTTCCTTGGTGTTTCTTGATTCTTCGTTGGAGAGATGGCATGTGCCATCAAGGGCCGTTCGAATCAGGATGTGCCGCTGCTGCTGCTGCTGCTGCTTCGGCGACAAAGCATAACCCAAACACTTCCGGAACAATTTTCCAACATAGACTACTATCCCTTGCACGTGCGACTGTTGGCAGGGCCTAGGAAACAGATCCTTTCCCATGAACCCATAGGACCAGGGCGAGGCCTCGAAGGATCTGCCTCGCTGGCAGATTCCTGGCTCCTGCCACTTTCTTGATGACCCCGATGACCCCTTCTGTGAAGCTCTTGCTTCTGTTCCGCTGTTGAGAACAACTCATGTCCTTCCACCGGTGCGGGAGCCGTATTTGTCCACCAGCGCCTCCAAGGAGCTGTTGAAATACATGATGATGCAGTACCTTAGCCGTTGAACCATGGATTCATGGCGAGCCAGATGTCGATCAGTGCAAATGGGTGACACGATGTAGGCTACGAACAGCAGGATCGCCTGACGAAAACGCCAGCGAAGTGACTTGGCACTCTCACCAGGCTATGCAGGGCTGTATCAAGGTCATGCCGCGGGTAAACCGCAAGCTCCTCGAGCACAAGGGTACACCAAAAAAAACAGAACATCAGCGCCCCAGTCCTCCACCAGTGAAATCAGTTCGTCAGAAGCGAAACCTCTGATGAATCTTAACCTACTCATGGGCTGCAATCATGGAAAGCTGCAGCATATCAGAGCATTTGGGTAGGGTCGGATGTCAATTCATGATAAGCTAGGCTCGGCTATAACTGTTGCGGAGGTCCGTGCCGCATGAGACCTCTGCTTCGCACCAGAAGGATGTGGACGTACCACTAGCAGCACTGCAGTACTGGCTTCGGGGCGGATCTGCATTGATGCAAAGCACGGTTCGGGACACCTGCAGCACGTCATGAGTCAGAGCAGTTGCAAAGACCGGGCTTGCGACTTCAAAGCATGCGCCAATGTCCTGTAACTTGGGTGGCGAGGGCCTCATGACATGCAGCCAAGCTGCCTGCCAAAAGGCTCAATCCCAATATGTAATAACTGCAATCTCCTTGGCACAGCTGCTTCGGCCGACATCCTCCGTGCTGCAAGGTTCTGCTGGCTTCGAAGCCGTAAGGCCATGGGGCGGAAGAGTGGCCACCATGTCAGCTGGATGGGCTCCTTTGCCACGTAGCCTGCGTGACTGCGCATGGATCATACAGGTTCGGACATCCAGCGAAGCATAACTCTCGCCAAGTCTCCGCAGAGGCCAATGACAAACAGCACATTGAAGACGGCGGACCCGATAATGGTCCCGAATCCGACATCATTGTTCGCCTTGTCAGGCTGCAGGTTTCGTCAAACATCCGCAAAATCTAATTGTTAACGCATGGAAGCTTCCGAAATCCGGACAAGCTGGTGCTAGTAGCCGAGTGTCGATGGTCGCACCCACCAGAGACGTGAAAAGCTCAGGAGCAGAGCCGCCTGCCTGAGCTGCAGCATGCCACAGCTAGCATGACCTTGTCGCCGCCTCCCATTCTGAGGCTTTGGTCGGGAGCTTCCAAAAGGATTGGGCGAAAATGGGTGCCTTCTCTTCTCCATGGAAAGTTGACATCTAGGAGGCAATTCTGGTCGTGTTCTCTACGAGATGCGGCCATGAAGGTAGCTCCTGCCACGTCTGGCTTGATGTGCCACTTCTCCACCATGATCTGTCCACAGCGGTATTCAGCACCAGCAAAACACTCACGAACCACGAGCTTGCCTCGAGAGCACCAGTGAAGTACACCTCGGAGTTTCAGAGAGAGAAAGCTTCACGGTGCAGCGCAAAAGAGCTAGTGCGGCCATGCATCGTCACAAACGGTATTCAGCCCCAATAGCATGTAGCTAATGCCGATTACCTCAGTGTCAACACGAAGCGAAGCAAGAGTTGCACAGCAGGGAGCAGAAACAACAACTGCACCACTAATCTTTCAATCTGCCACCCAAGCAGGACACCTTGCATCACAACTTACCAACGCAAGGCCACGGTAATCAAACCGAAGCCAGGGTCAATCTTAAGGAGGGTTGAACCTAATCAAGCTGGCATATCTCGACAGAAAGCGCATGTGAAGTTTGGCTGCGCATCCCAACTTCAGCCAGCCCACATGCAGAAACACAAGCCATCGATTTTCATCTTCCCCATACGGCTGGGTCAGCACCAGATCAGATGGATACCTCGTCGGAAGGTTCAACTTTGAGAATTCAAGTCTTCAATGAAGTGTTCAACAAGGGCCGTCAGTGCCGAAAGATTGACCATTGCTACCACTGTGATAGCCAAGGGTCAAACTCTGCAGACGACGGCTACGTGTAGCAGGGGAAACATCTGGAGGGAGACCTGACACTCTTGCGCATGATGACATGCCTCGAAGGTCTGGGTTCAAACTTCAATTCTAGGGGTCGGAGGACCCTACACTGCAAACTCTAAAGTCTCTCAAGCTCACCCTTAATTCACTCTAATCCCGAGACGAACAGCCTTGCCATGGTTCGGCATCTCCTGCTCTGAGGCCTTCGCGCGATGGCCAGCTGTCACGCCAGATGACCTAAGCTTGGCGTGATACGAGACTGGAGGCATAGAGTAAACACGCTTGACACAGGCTCAACATACAGAAATGTACACAAGGTATATATGGGAATGCGTTCGACGGACCCCTGCGAGAGAGTCGTGTGCTTCTCGAGCCCACATGTACAGATGCGATGTCTACAGCGGATATCAGCAAATTTGTGTGTGTGTGTGTGCATGTGTCTGTGCGTCTACATGTGGTTACAGATGATGAACGTACAGTGTGCAGTCCAATGATACCATGTGTGAATTTACATGCATGCTTGCCCGCATGCATTCCTGAAAACATTGCAGGCCAACACTACAGTACATCGCAGTGCAGCACACCGCACTACATGATGCTACATTACGAAACATTGCACTCCGTTTGATTACAGCACTACATCGCTACATGGCAATGCTGCGACATCACCACATTATTGCATTACTAGGCATTGCTTCGTTGCTGTGTTACTACACTACTACACCTAGGCATGCATGCATGCATGCATCCATCCATCCATCCCTGCCTGTACATGCATCCATGCATCAATATGTACCTATGTATTCACATACATACATACATACGTACA